GCTTCCCAGGGGTTATGGGGTTAGGTATGATCATGGAGAATGGTGAATTACAGAACTGCTCTGAAAATAAAGCCAAAGCAGTATTCTGTAGCCAGGAAAGATGGGTTAGCCAGTGAGATGTGCAATAAGGAAAGCGCCTTCTCTCTGCACAAAGATCAATATTCCTACCCAGGCAGGTAAATATCAGGAGAGGTTTTTCTATTAGCAGTGGTGATTTTCTTCTCTTTAAAAAAAATTAAAAAGAAGAGAAATAAAGATCGTGAGAAAAAAATTGAGATCTTTATTTCTTTTCTAGTTCAGTTAGTTATAAGTACCCAGGGGTGAGTTCTTATAGCAAAGCCATAAAAAAAGTGCTTTATTCAGCATTATAGGAACTATTAATGTACTAAGTGTTGTCCCTGCTGCTGCTGGCTGGAGACCACTGCTGGAAAGGCCAAGAAATGGATGAGCTAGGGGCTGAGCTCTCCCCCAGGAATCTCCATGGCTCACGGCACTGGCACATCTGGGCAGATGTCTGGCTTTGGAAGGATGCCTTGCTCTGCCCGTGCTGTGTCTCCCTTCCCCTCCCCCTGCCCAGGCTGTTCAGCCGATGACTTTCCCCCCAGCACGGATCACAATTGCTAAAACTAGAAACAAGGTGCAGACTTTACACCCTCGCTGAAGTTTGAATGGTTTTATGCCATGGGGAGAACTTACCCGGGGAGCTGCTGAGTTATACTTCACCAAGCTACAGGTCAGACTGAGGTTAGCTGGTTTGGGAGGGTATTCGGTCAAAATCACCCTCCTCATCCCCGCTGCCCATAGGACCCGGAAAGCCTTTTGCCCGCTCCGAACGCCTCTGGCCCCCACTGAGCCTGGGCCTCAGTGCCAAAGCCAATTTTAGCAGCTGGAAGAAAACCAAACTGCAGAAAGACAAAAGCTGCGTTTGCCCCACGTGGTGCCCGTTGCTCTGCAGCTCAGGACTTGCCCTGGTGAAGACACTATCTGATGCTGAACATCTATATTTCCCAGGTGTTTTTGTGAGGAGCTAGACTGTAAATACGTCTTCTATATTTTCCCTTTTCTTTCCTTTTTTTTTTTGTTTTGGCCCCCCCCAGAGTAAGGTTTGTTAACTCCTTTAAGAGCTGTCAGAGGGCTCTGATCTCTCTCTGGGTGCTTTGGGATACCATTGCTGGGTAGGACAACGTGTGCCCGGAGAAGGATGCCTCTCACCCTGCAGTGCTTTATAGGGAAGGTGGGTGCTCGCCGTATAGTTATAGCCACTTTTTTTAAATGCAAAGGATCTCCAGGAGCAGCTGGTGCTGGTGCAGCCTTTGCTGCCTGCTCAGAAGAGGGACTTCTAGACTGGCAACAAAGCGGGCTCTGCCAGAAAAAAATCCAGTTTGCTTTCCCACTCATTTCCCTGTGCTTTCCTTCAGCTATTTTTGTGGATATTTATACATAAGCAGTTTTCCTCTTCCTTCAACAGAGAGAATCTCCTTCAGACACATCCTGAGCCGTAGCCCTGTTTATGCATTCGTGGCCTCACGCTGTGTTTCCATGTCAATCTCTATAGCCGCAGAGCTCCATGGCTGGGACTTTGGAGTCAGCTGGTAATTCATATCCTCTTCACCTCCCGAGCCCTGCCCAGGGCTGGCTGAAGTACCAGTTCTTACTCCCTTGCCTTCCCCTGTGTTGAGGAGAACCATGAAGCTGAGATGGGAGGGATAGAGGATTGCAGGAGCAAAAACTGTCTCAGCTTCGTGGTGAAAAAGGCTTGTGAGGGGGTG